CCAGCTGCAAATGGAGCAAAAATGACCTGAACTATATAATTACTGTCTAAAAATATAATGCAATGCACAATTTATTAACATAGCCATCACTTTTGAAGTTGGGTGTATCTTTACTGAAAAAGTCTTTACGTTGCTTTAATGTTTTCTTAAATCAAACGTTGCCGGTCAGCTCACCTGTTGCCCCTGTATGCATTTCATACCAAAGTAAGGCTCAAACAAGAGCAAATTTTTAATAACTCTGTTATTGATATTCTATATAATATTCACAAAAATACGTAAAACCCTTATTTAAACCTAAAATCTGCTCATCTATTCCTTGAACGTGCATTCATATTTTTCAAAAACATACAGGAAAAGAGGCATGTTTTTTTCAGCCCTCATTAAAACCCCATATATTTCATTATAGTCAAAGCTGTATCACATTTCTCCTCTTTGAAAGAAAATACTAACATTCGGTCTCACATACAGATGTGCAGTCATTATACCTAACATAGCTTCATTAAAGCAATATAAAGAACACAAGCCCTCCTTGTACATTGGAACATAAAGGGGGGTGATTATACCATAAACTTGCTTTATTAAGACCTCTGTTTATACTCTTCTTTATTGAACATATAAATAAAGCTAGGGGTCCTTGTGCCACATTTACCACTCCCCAAGCACCCATGCTTGCTCTTATAACAGTCATGCTAAGAAAGCCCAGTTAAATACTGCCACTACATTTTGTCTCCACCAGAAAGTGGAAAAGAAATCAATTTCAAGACCAATTCTACACAAATAAGAGAAGAAATTAAACTTAACTTAGCACTACAATAACAAAATTTATATTCACTGCAGACTTCAAATTGAAGATTAAAAACAGTATGTTATCCTATGCAATAGACTATCTGCCTCTAATGCAATATTGTCTTCCCAATTGTTTTTTATTCATTCAAGATCTGATCAGGCAGGTTGCAAAAGGAGGGGAAAAAAAACTGCAAAGTTGTCTAGTTCAGTCCTGGGGTTCCCAAGGTGTTTCAAGGCCAAAAAACAAATATAATCCCTTTAGCAAGTCTAGGTCTGCTCTTGGGTTGAACTCTAGTGAGAAATGCCCATCCTGGTCAGATCCCACAACAATAATGCTTCCTTTGTACTGTATCGAGCTCCTCATCCCATAACCAAGGTTGAGTGTAGACCACCTCCACAGAACCACAACTTTAACATGGCAGATGATTTAAACCCCCCATAGTCCTCAGGGCTGTTTTGTCTGGGGATTCAGTTCTTTGTTGGGTCTCCCATGGTGAGTTCTTCTAAAGAGGGAAGAATAACTAAATTTGGTGCTTTAAACTAGGTGATAGTTGATGCTACAATCATCTTCCCTCAGCTCAGCCACAGCGTAGACCTGAACTTCCTCTGTCAAAACTATCCGTGTTTTTTCTCCTCTCATTTGTTTATCCATTCGTATTTTTCTCATAGCTCGCTGCACATTGTCTTACTCAGCGTGGACGCCACTCTCACATGGTTTGCGTTTTTCAGGGCCTAATGAGCCTGGTATGCATCTCTGGTTGTTGTGTGTGTGTGTGATGCCGTCAATGTTCTCACTGTAGTCTGCTTCTCATCATCAGGCTAAAGCTGGGTGAGGACTGCTGAGCAAGTCACCCCTTGCTCCCCGCTATCAGCCGGATAGCTCCATGATGAACTCCAGAGTGGTTGTTTCCTCTTGAGGAAGAGCAGACCATAGCTCAGCTGGGGAGCCTTATGCCTGACTTTAGTTAATAATGCTGAATTATAAGCAGACTAAGCAATTTAGTCATATAAATCATGTGTAGAAGACTCAAGCAACGTGAACCTCAAGGGTGTCTGAATCTGCTGGCAATAATAATCTGTGATGAGATCTATTCCCTTGACTGAATCCTATGTTTAGATTGATTGATTTGAAATTAGGATGGTGGAAAGTTTCAAGTTGAAAACATGACATGATTTATACCTAGAGTCAAACTTTTGGCTTTTTCCTCAATCTAAATCTGTTTCTATGCTTCTTGGCAACGCTTGATGGAACAGCCCCCCAAGAAAGAATAAAAAGAAGCAAACATTTGGTTTAGGATGTTTGCAGTGAAACAAATTCTGCTAACAACCCCTGCTGTTTTATTGAGACACCCTTGGAACAAAATAACTTCCCGCTGCAGGAAGCTGATTACTCCAGGAACCCTGCCTTCAGCGTCCTCCCTCCAGTTCTGATACTCTGTGTGCTCATAATTTCTACAATTTAAAAAAAATTGCAGCTTCTTCCCTAGGTAAAACTTTGCCCCTTCCAGAGGACACATATAGATTTATCTCGTAGTTGGCTTGATGTCAGGTTGTCAGCACAGGATGAAGAGGGGAACATACCTATAAATGGTGAAACAGCAGAGCTCCAAGTATTAAAGACATCAAAATTCTCATTCTAATGTTTTTAGAATAGTAAGAGAGAGGAGAGTCATGAATGTTGGACAAAAAAATACCCCATTTGCACTTTTCTAAAATAATTTCAACCCCCTTAAATGTTACCAAATTTCTTCACACTACAGTCACTAACCTTGCTCCCTCACTATCCACCGATAAAATGTATTTTATCTATATTTATGTAATGAACCAACACAAAATATAGCATATTTTAGCTTTATTCTGCCTCAACTGCCTTGAGACGTCACTTCCTTTGTGAGCACAGCCCATCTATGTTTAAATTAATTCCAGTATAAATTCCCCTCTTCTAAGAAGAGGTTTTTATTAGAGAAAATTAGTGGATAAACAACATCGGGAAGACCCAAGGTAAAGGAGATGTCATTATTCCAAGATGAAAAGACTATTGCATAGTTTGATAGAGAGAGAGAGACATGTTTTTTTTTTAGTTTAAACTGAAAGACTGGGCAAGGTGAACATTTTATATTTTCATAGAATTATAACTTTGGAGGAGCTGCTGAGAGCCATAACTCAGGTTTTCAAAGATGTTGGAAGGGCAACTTTTTATTGTGGACTCTACTAACCATTCCTTAATGGTGCATTATGTCCATTTCAAAAATGTTGAAATGGACATAAACTTTCCTTTTGGCAGTTTGCTATCAGACATGAATCAGAATCAGAATTACTATATTAATCTGTTGAGGGGAAATCTGTACTTGCAGTGCAACAGAAGTATAATAGAGCACCATAAAGTATAATATGATAGGACAGAATAAAATAAGTAAAATATGTAGATTTACATTCCACACTGTAAAATTACACCCTTCTTATATTAACAGTGCAAAATAAGATATAGGAATAAAATAAGATAAGGATCACTGTATATCCATAAAACAGTATTTACAATTTACAGTGCTGGTCAGTACCTAAATTATTATTATTGCACATGACTGTGTGGTGCTCTGTGGTGCAGTGTGATGAAATGAGTCTCTGACTGAAGGTGCTTCTGTGGCTGACCAGCACATCATGAAGACAATGCAGGATTGTCCAGCAGGGATTTTATCCTGGCCAACATTCTAAACTCTGACATTGCTGTCAGAGAGTCCAGCTCCTCTCCAATAGCGTGTCTGGCTGTGCTGATGAGTTTAACTGTAGCATGCAACAGCATAAAGGATGGCATTGGCCACCACAGACTCATAAAACATCCGCAGCATTGTCGGGCACATGTTGAACGACCTCAGCTGCCTTAGAAAATAGAGATGGTTCTGGCATTTGTGTTTTTAGTCCAGTCCAATGTATTGTCCAAGTGCACCCTTAAGTATTTATTATCCTCCACAGTGCCCACGTTGACCCTACAGGTAGAAAAAGAAGTCACTGGGGCCTTAGATTCTTCTCAGATCATTCACCAATTCCTTGGTCTTTGCCACGCTGAGCTGCAAATGGTTCTACTCGAGACCAGATGACAAAGTTGTCCAACACATCCCTGTACTCCTCCTGCTTACCATTGTTGATACATCCAGCTACGGCAGAGTCATCAGAAAGCTTCTGAAGGTGGCAGGTGTCTGTGCAGTAGCTGAAGTCTCTGGTGTACAGGGTGAAGAAGAGGGGAGAGAGGACAGTCCCCTGCGGGGCCCCGGTGCTGCCGATGCCCTTTTTATGACTTCCAATGTTGCAGGAGCACATACTAAAATCCACAATCCAGGACACAATGAGGACCCAGTAGAGCTAGCCTGATGGCCTTGAATGCACAGGAAAGTCAAAGGACATAACTCTCATAGTGCCCGCTGGCTTGTCCAGGTCGGCATAGACCCAATTGAGGAGGTAGATGATGGCATCCTGCCGGATAATTTTAAATATTCATCCTGTTTTTCACGTCTCTTTGATCATGGCTGTCTTGTCTAGGGGGGCAGCTGAATAAAACCCCTACAGATCCATTCGACCTCCCCTTTATTTCTTAAGTACGGAAATCCATCAGTAGTCATCAACTAACTCCTTTCTGATCAGTCTGGTTTCTCCCCCATACCAACCAGAAAGTTAAGCTGACTTCCTGCACTTCTGCACTTCCAGATTCTTGTTGCTTTTGTAAATTCTGCATGTGGGTCAAAAAAACTACAAACCAACAGGACAGCCACAAGCCGTCATTATCCTATGTGGCAGGTTGCTATTAATTGGGATATTGGTATAATCTGCATGACAGAGAAGAGAGGAACAATCATACTGATAGCCTCTAAAAAGGAGGTGGACATGTGCCAAACATGTCAGTTCAGATAACTGTTGCATTGGCAAGCACATACATTAAAAAAGGCTTTTTGTGGGCAGTGAAACAAAAGCTGTGACTCACAAAAGGTCATGATTCAGGTGAAAAGACACAGCGGCTTTACTGTCAGCCTTAGGCCTGATGTTGTTTGTTAATACAAGCGTATGGATAAATAGCACAACGACATTGCCGGGGAAAATGTGCTGCTTGACTTGATTAGGTCCACAAACTGCTGATTGGTTCACAAATGTTGTGAAATTTTAAAACTAACAAACATTTTTCTCTGAATACTTTTCTTCTCTGTCTGTTTTTTTTTTTTTTACAGGAAGTCCGGATGTAGCTGTTAAACAAGGACAAACAGCAAGGTCAAAACATTACGAGACAACAGTGCCTCTTCAGCTGGTTGGAAAAGAATGGAAACCAGTCAGCAAACTCAAACCCCAGGTAGATTTTACAACTTGAAAATAAAATTAGTATGCTTTGGTTTATGACTTGACAGGTTGTCTCACTTTTTTTACATTTATCTCTTTTATTATTGTGCCAGGGGTGTTGAGATCTATTTCAAAAAGCCAGCAGATGCCTGTAAAATATGTTTTTACAACTCATCTTTCCGTGAAATGCTGAAATGCTACATAAATAAAACATTGTACACACTACACCTTTAAGTTAAATCTTTCCAAATTCACACAGTTTTGTCTCATTTATATATACCAGGGGTCCCAAACATTTCAGGTGACCCCAAATAAAAATCCGACAGACTGGTGACCCCCTGAAAATTAATGCAATACAATTACTCCATATTTTTACATACATGTAAAGTGAAGTAATTATTTTTATCTTTTTCTAAATGAAATTTTATCAATTTTAAGTATCTTGTAATCATATAATTAAACATTTAATTGCACATTTGTGTAACTAATGGTATATTTAATATTTGATTCATGTATTACATAAATACATTAATAAATAAATGTTATATATATGGATTTCCTCTATGCAGCCTTTCATATACCTCAGGAATCACATCACAATGATTATGAAAACCATCTTATAACCCTCCAGTTATTCTTGTGTCCCCTCAGTAGGTCCCAACCCCTACTTTGGGAATGCCTGATCTAGACAATATACGTAAGATTGTGTAAGACTGCATTAATCCTGTGCCATACTATCCACAACCTTCATGTCCTATTTAAACATGGCTAGATAACTTTGAACATTTTGTAAAGCTTCCTACATCCTAAAGGCAAAGAGATGCAGCCAAGCTCTTGCTTTTTGCCAAGCAGTTATTTAGAATACTGTAGTTATCTGTGTGCCTGAGATGTTATGAATCCTGTATCTGTTATGCACACTTTCACCCCTTCACTCTGAAATGTTCTGAAGTGTCGGATCATAGCAAACAATCAATGTTTTCCTTGTTGCTTTCCTTGCCATCACATCATAAAGCTACCACCAAACGGACCTTTTCTTCTTTTAAAGATTCTTCCCAAAAGTAAAAAACTCCCCTCTTTAAAAGGAGACTTTCTCCACATCACTCAGAAATAACAGAAAGAGAATTGTGTGTTTTTAATCATTTAAAACAACTGTAAATTAAGCTGCTCCTTATTTACTGTAGCATCATGTGAACAGTTTCTTTCTCCTTGGACAAGAGCATATGTTAAGCAGCAAAAGAAAATGTAAAATGCATAAACTGATCACAGCGCTGGGTAGAAATCCAGATGTTGTGATGTATTTTATACATTATGTATGCAATTTAATTATCAATCCCTCAACCAGATTAATCCAAATATAAAATTAAATAGGATATCTGCATGCATGTAGGCGGTTTGACTCAACAAGCATCTTGTTGCATGGGGTAGATGTTGTCAAAGACTGATTTTTGCCAGTTCTGCTTCCCACTACCTTGACTGGGTTGATAGGGCAGAGTTAGGCTTTCTGATTAGCTTATTCAGCCACACTACACAATTTATGTGACAGTAGTTTTACTTTATTCATTTCCTATCAATTATGCACTACTCTACTGTATGTGGCTGAATAAAAAAATAGAATTCCAAAAAAACTACCGGTACATTCATATTTTGGTTCATTGGGTGAAAAGTTTGCGTAAATTTAATGGATGATTATTTTTACATAGAGATTGTATAGCATGGCAACAACATTTATTATTTCTTTAGGAGTTGATATTTTGTGGGGAAACTTCTCTGCAGTAAACAAGTAAAGCAGGAAGTAATTACAGTATGATTCATGAGATCATCAATGAGATGTTTAAATTATAACCGCATGGGCTATTTGTTTTTTTAAATCCCAGACCATACTGAAATATATGAAAAACAATCTGATATTTATGTTATTGCATAATTAATTCATTTGTGAATTAATTAGTCTTGGCCTAACCAAACAGACAGCCTCTCTGGGATTATATTACCTCCAAAACCAGAACAAAATCTCTGATCAAAAGAAATATACGAAACAAAGTTGAAACAGAGTTCTCATTTAAATTCTTAAATTCCTAAAAATAAGTTCAGCCACACAGTAGAGATGTGTGATGATTCTGCATGTATATATCTGACTGAGTGATATGGAAACCTGTTGGAAGGGAAAATAGGCTAAAAATCATACTGCCTTTACCGTTAAGTGTTCCACTTCCATATCCTCTCATGATCCACTCGGCATTCTTCTTTGTGAGGGGTGTTGGATGACTTAACCCAGATCGGTACTTTCTGCTAGAGCTGACCCAGTTTGAACCACATGTTTAGACTGTGTGTGTGAGTGTGTTGGGAAAAGCGAGCGACAGATGATTTTCTTTTTCCCAGTCTGAGACTTTGTGTGGCTTTTTTTGCATCTGTAGCAAATTGTGATAAACAGAAGTGATATAAATGACACAGAACCGCTTCATCTGAGTCTAACAGTGATGATTAGTGTATCAGCTTGACTTGGGGCTTGTGAATACTTGCCACGTTCTGCAGGATTAATGTCAAATGGAATAGAACCACAAAGCTAATCCTCTCAGCCCTTGTTCCAAGAAACAAAGTGTCTTCATAGAGAATTTTCATCTATTGAAATTACTGCTCATGCAGGGTGCAGGGTGGCTCAGTCAAAAGTTTTATCTTAATTGAAGGAGTTGATCCCACAGGCAAGGGTTTAAACATTGACTTTACTGCCTCACACAGATTCAGTTTGATTTATCCTGGTAATTTTAAACATTGGCAGCATACAGTCTCATAACTGAGAAAGCCGTTCCTCATTTATTGGCATAGCACTGTGACTACCTCCTCCAAGGTTTTAAAAAACTTATAATGGGCTTGCATGCTTAAAACCACTGTACTTAACCATTGACTTGAAAATATTTGACACTCTTGACCTCTTACACCAGAGACTTTCAAATTATGCCCTCTGAGATTGATCAATTGACTGGTTGTTACTGCTTCTACTCAGTGTTATCTGAATATTAAGAATACTGTCGGCTCTGTACTAGGAGCAGATTAATAACATGGCTTAGAAATTCAATAATATATCCTACAGTTTTGTAAATAAATTAATTTTATTAATGTCTTGCAAGCAGTTTTGCTGTGACCTCTGAGAACCAGACAGAAATTTAGCCATACAAACAAAACATTAAAAAGTTTATTGAAAGTTGATATACACTCACCGGCCACTTTATTAGGTACCCCATGCTAGTAACGGGTTGGACCCCCTTTTGCCTTCAGAACTGCCTCAGTTCTTCGTGGCATAGATTCAACAAGGTGCTGGAAGCATTCCTCAGGGAGTTTGGTCCATATTGACATGATGGCATCACACAGTTGCCGCAGATTTGTCGGCTGCACATCCATGATGCAAATCTCCCGTTCCACCACATCCAAAAGATGTTCTATTGGATTGAGATCTGGTGACTGTGGAGGCCATTTGAGTACAGTGAACTCATTGTCATGTTCAAGAAACCAGTCTGAGATGATTCCAGCTTTATGACATGGCGCATTATCCTGCTGAAAGTAGCCATCAGAAGTTGGGTACATTGTGGTCATAAAGGGATGGACATGGTCAGCAACAATACTCAGGTAGGCTGTGGCGTTGCAACGATGCTCAATTGGTACCAAGGGGCCCAAAGAGTGCCAAGAAAATATTCCCCACACCATGCCACCACCACCACCAGCCTGAACCGTTGATACAAGGCAGGATGGATCCATGCTTTCATGTTGTAGACGCCAAATTCTGACCCTACCATCCGAATGTCGCAGCAGAAATCGAGACTCATCAGACCAGGCAACGTTTTTCCCAGTGTTGTGCCTGAACGCGTTCATTGAACGAAAGTTCATGAACTCGTTCATACTTTGGGCGAACGTGAACTGAACGTACTGCATTATTGCCTGATGAACGTCATTGTGAACTCGTTCATTCTGGTGTCTGTGAACGGCACGCTCTCTCAGTTCAGCTCCGTTCAATAGGTTGCCAGATTTCTATAAAGCCCTCCAGGCGAAACCCCGGCTAAATCACACCGTAAACAAGCCTTAATATGTAGCGGGAAAAACACCCAATCTGGCAACACCAGCTACCAGCGTCGTAGCCTACAGCCGCGTGCGTCATCAAAACAAAATGCAGCGTGGAAGCCACAGCAGCATGGAGGCGACTTAAAACAGGTTTATGACCAGGTGGTCGGTGAGGATGATGGCAACAAGTTTGCCCGCCGGCTTTCAGTAAAAAAATCCGCCTTCAGTAACCTTAAATTCCTACCTCAGCCTGGTCCCTCAGCTTGTGTTAGTACAATCTTCTTGAGCGGAGGTCTTCAACAGGGGATCCGCGACCCCTAGGGGGTCTACGGAGGTACTGCATGAGGGTCTGCATGGTTAGTTGATATTTTTATATTCCCCCCCTGCATTTTTTCCCCCCACTAATTGAAATGTCTTTAAATACTCATTAACATGAAATCAACACACTGTAGTAAACAGATAAATGGAGGCAGAAGATGTCTTTCAGTCATCAATGCTCACATTCAGCGACACACAGGAGCTCTTTCAAGCTGGGCACCGTTTCCTTCACAACAACCAGGAATCAGAATCAGAAAAACTTTAATAATCCCAGGGAGAAATTAATTTCTTTACATTACTCCATCTGTAATAAAGTGACTATAGGACACAATTTCATACAATATATATAAATAGGGGGTCCCCGCTCCATCTCGCCATCAGTTTGGGGGTCCTTGGTCTGGAAAACATAGAAGACCCCTGTGTTTGAGGGTTTTACTATCCATGTAACTTGTTTGTTAAACCTGCCTGGTATAATGTTTCCAGGATTCCAGTATTCCTTTTTAGTATGTATTGAAATGGAATTTCAAATGGAAAAAATTATTAAAAAAAAAAAAAAAAAACACTTGCACCTTAAAGACTACTTTCCTATTTTTCTTTTAATAATTACTCATAAAAAAGACCATTCAAGCAGCACATTTTTCCTGATGTTTTTGAGAATATACTGTAGGGGTGAAAGCTGCAGCTGCTACTAGTGTGAAGTGAATGGACAGCAACAAAGCATTAAAGCAACAATGGGGAAATGCTGTCCCCTCAATGCTAATGTAAACCCTGGTTGGATAAGGATTCAAAACTGGATATGAAGATGAAATCTGACGCACAGTTTCAGAGTTACAACTGATAAAATAATTGCTGTCTGTGGTTCTACAGTAGGCTATGGTGTAATTGAGCAATATATGAAAAAAAAAAAGAACTATGAACTAGTTCATTTTTTGGAATTGTGAACTATGAACTGAACTAGTTCATTTTAAAATGTGTGAACTGAACTTTGAACTAGTTCACGTAGAAAGAGAACTTTCCCAACACTGGTTTTTCCAATCTTCTATTGTCCAATTTCGATGAGCTTGTGCAAATTGTAGCCTCAGTTTCCTGTTCTTAGCTGAAAGGAGTGGCACCCAGTGTGGTCTTCTGCTGCTGTAGCCTATCTGCCTCAAAGTTCGACGTACTGTGCGTTCAGAGATGCTCCTCTGCCCACCTTGGTTGTAACGGGTGGTTATTTGAGTCACTGTTGCCCTTCTATCAGCTCGAACCAGTCTGGCCATTCTCCTCTGACCTCTGGCATCAACAAGGCATTTCCGCCCACAGAACTGCCGCTCACTGGATGTTTTATCTTTTTCGGACCATTCTCTGTAAACCCTAGAGATGGTTGTGCGTTAAAATCCCAGTAGATCAGCAGTTTCTGAAATACTCAGACCAGCCCTTCTGGCACCAACAATCATGCCACGTTCAAAGTCACTCAAATCACCTTTCTTCCCCATACTGTTGCTCGGTTTGAATTGCAGGAGATGTCTTGACCATGTCTACATGCCTAAATGCACTGAGTTGCCGCCATGTGACAACTCAGTGCTGTTCAGAAAGTGACCAGATTCTGAAGCCAATTAGAATCCAGTGTGGGCAGACCGAGCATAGGAAAAGAAAAACTTGATTCCATTAAAAATATTTGCAAACTATGTCGATGATCTTTTAATTTTGAAAATGCAAATGTTTGCTATAATTTCCGTTAAATAAGAATTATAATTAAAATTGCACATGAATAAGTTTGTTCACGTATGTTGTGAAACATTTTTAGCATGACTTTATATTCTCTTACTTAGTATTTTGTGCATGACTGTATATATTTTTACTTAGAAGAATTTAGAATAGGCTTTAGTAACTGACCCTCATGTAAAGGGACCCCCTTATCTTGGCTGCTCTGGAGTAGATTTTATGACCCTGGTCTCCTGCAAAAACCTTATCTTGTTCCTTTAAAGATACAGGAGTTTTTTTCTAAGCACTCAGTGGTGCAATGTGTAGCACTGCTGCCTTGCAGCGAAAAGGTTCCGGGTGTGATTCCCAGCCTGGGGTTTTTCTGCATGGAGTTTGCATGTTCTCCCTGAGCATGTATCGGTTCTCTCCGGGTACACCGGCTTCCTTCCATAGTCCAAAAGCATGACTGTTAGATTAAATGGCTTATCTAAAGGCCCCTTAAGTGTGAGTGTGTGTGTGTGAGTGGTTGTTTGTCCTGTTTCTCTCTGTGGTGCCTTGCAATAGACTGGCGATCTGTCCAGGATGTATCCTGCCTCTTGCCCGTAGACAGCTGGAGATAGGCACCAGCACCCTTTGCGACCCCAGAAGGGATAAAACCTGACAGAAATGGAATGGTACCAAATGCTGATGAAAAATAGAGGTGTCAGCATCTTACTGAGGAGATGTTTTGTTAAGCAGGTACAGAAAAGCCGGTCGTCGATTATGGGAGGATAGATGGAGCTACGTACATGGCAGTATGGGAAGAGAAACAGAAATCTTATACAGTAGGCTGTGGAGGTGTTGGGAGGACCTCTTAAGGAATCTTCAGCACTTGGTTAGAGTACAATAAATCTAAAATATACGACCAGAGCTACAGTCTGTGTGTGGGGTGGTGGGGCTTAAAGCATAGTCATGTTTTGCATTATCCTTCACCTAAATCAAAGAACAGCGAAAACAATAGTAATATTTGGTAATACTTGACAGCATATTTGACTCCGCTTTACCTCATGAAAAAATGTTTTTTAAATGCTCTCTGTAGATATGTTAAGCTGCTGCAGACAGTTGCAGCTGCAATCATAAAATATTACGGTTCTACAAAGTATTCATTTAGAGGGGTTCAATTTAAATGCCTGTCACAGATTTAAGATTATTTGCACCATATTTCTTCCATTTTAAAGTTATGAGGTGCTTGGTTTTAGTTTAGCCCTCTAAATAACCGTGATTGCATTACTAACATGACAAAATATGAAAAAGCTAGAAATGGGTTTAATACTTCTGCAAAGTACTGCATAGTCTTTTTTTCTTATTGAAATTATGAATGATGTTTAGACATAATACATAAGTAAAGTTATAACTTTGTTTATATAATGTTTACTGAGGAAATGATTTGATTTTCACCCCAGGATCTTTGGGTGAAATACATCACTTCTCATATTTCTTGTCTCTTCAGAGTCACCCTGTATCACTGAGGCTCTTGGTGGAGGTGGAAGGTGAGCAGCTGGTCCTTGCTCTGGAGAAAAATGAGTAAGTGTCCCACTGTTCATGCTCATGCCCGACTTCTAACTGAATGCTTTCTGGAGTACAAATAGGTGACATATGGGCCGCCCGGGGGCTAAAGCTGTACCCCAGAAAAAAAAAAGAGGGAGTCTTTCTCTCAGTTTGTGCTGGTGTGAGCATGGTAGTGCTGTGTGTGCTTTACTTTTTACTGTGCTGAAACAAAGACTTGAAAGACAGCAATTCCTGAATACATCAGCCAGACATTGATAAAAACCGACATCTTCCTCCTTCTTCTTGCTCCGTATTTCCATTTGATCCTCCAGCATTACACTGGGGAAAAGGAGGTTTTCTTTGAACACAGAAGACATTCAAACACACTCTACATTAAGATTCTGTCAACCCAGGGACTCTCACGAGGAGGGAGTGCAATCATTTGAAAGAGATCAGGTCATCGGCGTACAGGCAGTTTAATAGAGTCGTAGCTGCTGTGCATTTGCATGAATGTTCATCATTTTTGCATGTCTGCACAGTTCTGTGTGGCCTCGCAGCCTCAGACGGTCTCGCAGCTGAGTTTGCAGCTGAGAAAGAATGGGAGTTGATTGATGGAGCAGTATGTTTTCCATCCAGCTTTGCTGCCACACATGAGCAACCACGAACAAGCGGAGCTGTCTGCGTGATGGAGAGAGGAAAAGAAGGGAGGAGAGACAAAGCAGGGGAAAGTGAACGGGTTTAATGCCACCGTCGGCTGCGGTTCTCACTTGTTTTCTGTACCTAATGTATGTAAATTCCACCTGCAAACTGTGGAACAAAGATTTCAACACCGGAAAGTGCAATTTTATGGCTTACCTGCTCTGGAAATATTTTCATTGGAAATCACAGTCATTCCCCTGGTGAATTGTCTTTCTTTGCTTAGGTGAGGATTTTGTAGAGCTGCCTTGCAGATTGTCAAATTGTTCTAAGCCGCAGAGAAAAACACTTTAGGTTCACCCGTATGAATCTTCTTTGCATTAATCTAAAAGTCTACTGATCCAATCCAAAGAAGAACAGAGATGATGGAGGGCTAGTATGGCTTTTCTTACTAGCCCTCCAAGTACTGATGCATTATAAATACAATCCTGACAGAATTTACTGTCAAAGCTTGCTGGAAGTCAAGGTTTAATTACTGCAGAAGAGCTTTCTGCACGAAGATGAACTAATGCCTCATAAATATATTTATTTTATGTCTGTTTAGGAAAACAAAACATTTTAAAAGACAATAATTGAAAGAGGTTGTGTATGGATAAGCGTATATTTCTAGATCAGTGTTGCACAGCCAGAGCAAAGCCTGCTGTGCTTGCATTAGTGAAGCTTTTAGTCTCAGAATGCCGACATACTGACCGCATGCTTCGATGAAAACCAGTTGTTAAAACACTTTCAGCATCTGTAGACGAAGGGAAAAGAAGCTCTATGGAGAAATGATGTAAGTTGAAAAACATTTTTTTGGGGGGGGGGTTCTTTTTCAGGTTGCAGTTAAATGTAGGTGACATTAAATTGCACGGCAGGCACGAAGCAAAGCTGGGCATACTTGTTTGGTTTTCACTGAGGAGGGGGACATGAAGTGTATAGTTTTGAATTACCTTTCAAAAGTATTGAAATTCAAATTTTGTCTCATTACAACCACAAACTTTATTTCGTGTGGTTAACGACAAGTAAAACTTAATAGAGGAGAGGGGGGGGGGGGAAATCGTTTTTACTTTGTTACAAACATTCTAAAACAGTGTAAATACTAATCAGTTTTATTTAGCATCTCCCTAAGTTATTTAATTCTTTGCAATTACCTGCCCTCAGAAAAGTCTATACATGTATAATTTAAGCTCAGTATAAGTCAAAAACTGCATAATCTGAAGAATAAGATTGCAGTTTAAGTGCAAACATCCAAAGACATGGTCACCCACCTAAACCAATGAGAAGCCAAGAGATATCTGGTAACTCTCTGCAGCCTAGGTGGGAGAATCGATTGATTGGAGAACAATTAGTAGAACAAACAGATCTGGAATGGCAGAAAGAAAACTGCTGTTGAAAGAAAAAGACTGAACAAAATACAATTGTAGCTGTAATTCCAATAAATGGATCAACTCGGGGAGCGGCACAGTTTGTAGGACTGTTGCCTAGCAGCAAAAAGTGCCTGTGCCCATGGTCTTTCTCAATAAATAACTTGGTAATGGGAATGTTGAATTTTTTAATACATCTGACAAAGTTAACAATGCTAATAGAAAATGATTCTACTTCTTTTTATTGGCATTATATTCTTTTGTATTTTTTTTTTTAAGCGTGATTACCGTAGATTAACACATAACCCGCTGTACATTATGGACATAATCTGCACCTAGCTTGAACCTTATCTTGTTTTCGGCTTCAGCTGTTTGTGCCATTTCTTAAATAGTTAGAGGACATTTTTTTTTCTTTTTTACTGTTGTAGATAAAAAAAAAAAAAAAAAAACCCCGGCAAAAAACAAAAAACAGCAAAGCATGGTTTAATGTGCAGTTATCCACTACTGAAAAACACAAAACATCTTTGAACAAATAAAACATGACAAAGGATAAATGCAAAAACAACAAAGAGATGAAGGCCTTCATAATGAATAGGCTGAAGATAAGGAGCAGTATTAGATGGAACCGGTGCATCACATCATGCAATGAACTGTTCGGTTCGAGTTAATAGACACAGCACATTCATGTCATCTCCCGAAGATGTCTGTAAATTTCAGCAAAATCTCAAACTTCTGTGATCCTGTGGAAATGCACCACTAAAAAACAGATATAGGGGGATGATTTATTTATTATATTGTTTTCCAAGGTATTGCTTATGCTGCGTTAAACCTTGGTTATTCTAAAAGCATTTTATGGGATGAGTCCTAGTCTGTATCTATCTGTATCCTTCTTTCAATCCCTGTTAACATCTATTTTCCTTGTTATTTTTCTCTATAGTAAGTTAAACAAAGTTAAGAAAAATATATACACTATTTATGGTGAAAAACGCAAAAAAAAAACAAAAAATATGAAACTACAAATACAAGTTTTCTACAGCGAGGTATACTTGCTCTACAGAATACCTGATATCTGTATGGACTACTAAGCTACTGTGGATTTATTTGTGTGAGTTACTGGCTTAATGATAAACAGTAGCCTCAGTGGCCTAAATGTCTTAATTGTACTAAATGCTGCACATCGAATGGTAATTAAGCTCCTAAAGGCAAATCTTTATGTTTTCATAGTTCTGTCAGTATTAGAAATTAAATATTATCTTATGTTTACACGCAATATCGTATGTCTTGATGATATACAGGTGCTGGTCATAAAATTAGAATATCATGAAAAAGTAGATTGATTTCAGTAATTCCATTTAAAAAGTGAAACTTGTATATTATATTCATACATTACATACAAACTCATATATTTCAGATGTTTATTTTGTTTAATTTTGATGATTACAAATGACAACAAATGAAAATCTCAAATTCATCATATCAGAAAATTAGAATATTGTGAAAAGGTTCAAAATTGATGGCCCCTGGTGCCACACTCTAATCAGCTAATTAACTCAAACCACCTGCAAAAGCCTTTAAATGGTCTTTCAGTCTAGTTCTATAGGCTACACAATCATGGGGAAGACTGCTGACTTGACAGTTGTCCAAAAGACGACCATCGACACCTTGCACAAGGAGGGCAAGACACAAAAGGTCATCACTAAAGAGGCTGGCTGTTCACAGAGCTCAGTGTCCAAGCACATTAATAGAGAGGCGAAGGGAAGGAAAAGATGTGGTCGAAAAAAGTGTACAAGCAAGAGAGATAACCGCACCCTGGAGAGGATTGTGAAACAAAACCCCTTCAAAAATGTGGGGGAGATTCACAAAGAGTGGACTGCAGCTGGAGTGAGTGCTTCAAGAACCACCACACACAGACGTATGAAAGACATGGGTTTCTGCTGTCGCATTCCTTGTGTCAAGCCACTCTTGAACCACAGACAGCGTCAGAAGCGTCTAAAGAGAAACAGGACTGGACTGCTGGTGAGTGGTCCAAAGTCATGTTCTCTGATGAAAGTAAATTTTGCATTTCCTTTGGAAATCAAGGTCCCAGAGTCTGGAGGAAAAGAAGAGAGGCACTTCATCCACGTTGCTTGAAGTCCAGTGTAAAGTTTCCACAGTCAGTGATGGTTTGGGGTGCCATGTCATCTGCTGGTGTTGGTCCATTGTGTTTTCTGAGGTCCAGGGTCAACGCAGCCACATACCAGGAAGTTTTAGAGCACTTCATGCTTCCTGCAGCTGACCAACTTTTTGGAGATGCAGATTTCATTTTCCAACAGGACTTGGCACCTGCACACAGTGCCAAAGCTACCAGTACCTGGTTGAAGGACCATGGTATCCCTGTTCTTAATTGGCCAGCAAACTCTCCTGACCTTAACCCCATAGAAAATCTATGGGGTATTGTGAAGAAGAAGATGCAATACACCAGACCCAACAATTCAGAAGAGCTAAAAGCCACTATTAGAGCAACCTGGGCTATCATAACACCTGAGCAGTGCCACAGACTGATCGACTCCATGCCACGCCGCATTGCTGCAGTAATACAGGCCAAAGGAGGCCCAACTAAATACTGAGTGCTGTACATGCTCATACTTTTCATGTTCATACTTTTCAGTTGGCCAACATTTCTATAAATCCTTTGTTTTTATTGGTCTTCAGTAATATTCTAATTTTCTGATATGATGAATTTGAGATTTTCATTTGTTGTCATTTGTAATCATCAAAATTAAACAAAATAAACATCTGAAATATATGAGTTTGTATGTAATGTATGAATATAATATACAAGTTTCACTTTTTAAATGGAATTACTGAAATCAATCTACTTTTTCATGATATTCTAATTTTATGACAAGCACCTGTATATGTTTTTGTACCATAGTTGGTGGAAGGAATTGTGCTACAGTATAACGAATGTATATTTAGTGTTCACACTTCTATAGAAGTAGTTCCTCACAGAAATTG